GCTCTCAATTAGCTCGGGAGTTTATGCCACTTCCCATTCCTGGGGTCCACTTATCCCTTAGGGTCATTCATGATTTCTAGTTTCTTTGGGGAAGAGGACTATAGGCTTAAATGTACCACATTTTCTCTTTCCATTTTTCAGTTGAGGGGCATCTAGGTTGCTTCCAGGTTCTGGCTATTACAAACAATGCTGCTATGAACATGGTTGAACATATGTCCTTGTTGTATGGACAAGCAGTATTTGGGTATATACCCAAGAGAGGAATGGCTGGATCTTGAGGTAGATTGATTCCCATTTTTCTGAGCAACCGCCATACTGATTTCCAAAGTGGTCTTACAAGTTCACACTCCCACCAGCAATGGAGGAGTGTTCCTTCTTCTCCACAACCTCTCCAGCATAGGTTGTCATTGGTATTTTTGATTTTAGCCATTCTGACAGGTGTGAGGTGGTATCTCAGAGTTGTTTTGAGTTGCATTTCTCTGATGGCCAAGGATTTTGAGCACTTTCTTAAGTGTCTTTCAGCCATTTCAGATTCCTCTGTTGAAAAATCTCTGTTTAGTTCTGCACCCCACTTTTTAATTTCATTGTATGGTGTTTTGGTGGCTAGCTTCTTGAGCTCCTTGTATATTTTGGAAATCAGTCCTCTGTCAGATGTGGGACTGGTGAAGATCTTTTCCCATTCTGTGGGTGGTCGTTTTGTCTTACTGACTATGTCCTTTGCCTTACAGAAGCTTCTCAGTTTCAGGAGGTCCCATTTATTGATTGCAGACCTCAGTGTCTGTGCTTCTGGCGTGAGAGGTCATCATTTTTTGCAGCTGACTAGTAAGTTGAGGGACATCTAGTTGTTTCCAGGTTCTGGCTATTATGAATACTGCTGCTATGAACATAGTTGAACAGATGTCCTTGTGGTATGAATGTGCACACTTGGGTAAATGCCCAAGAGTGTTATCTCTGGGACTTGAGGTAAATTGATTTCCAATTTTCTTAGAAACCACCATACTGATTTCCAAAATGGCTGTGCAAGTTTGCACTCCCACGCCTGCCATTTTCTCTTCTATCTCTTTGATTATGTTGTTTATGCTTGCACCTGTAGTTCCTGTTTGTTTTCCCAGATTATTCACTTCTAGAATTCCCTCCATTTTGTTTTCTTTATTTCTTCCATTTCAGATTTCAAGTCTTGGATTTGTTTGTTTTTTCTTAGTTTTCTTAGCTTTCTATAAGGGGCTTATTGGTTTCTTCCATTTTTTGTCTTTTCCTCCATTTCTTTAAGATATTTCTTCTTTAAGGGCCTCTATCATCTTGGTCAACTTATTTTAAGGTCTTTTTTTTTGCTTCTTCTGTATTGTGGTGTTCAGGTCTTCCTGATGATGTACTACCAGGTTCTGGTGTTACCATGTTGCTCTTTAGATTGTTGAGTGTATTCTTGCATTGACTCTACCCTTCTCTTCTTACTATTGGTGAAAGCAGTGTCTTTGCCTCTTGATCTGATCATCTCAGTTTTCTCTCTCAGTCTTCTCGTTGCAGTAGATGTCTATGCTTCAGGGAGCCCCTGATTTCGCAGGGGATGGGTGGGTTTGAGGGATGAGTGTGGGAGGCTGTTGGTGTAGCCTGCTTGCTGGAGTCTTTTCCTGCTGACCTTCTAGTGTGACTGAGATGGGTGGAGGAAGCGCCTGGTGTTTTTCCCTAGGGCCTAGGCATGAGAGGCTGTTTGGTCCAGATGGAAAGCTGGTCACTCACCTCTCAATCTGCTCTGTGCAGTAGATGGTTGTGTCCCAGGGAGCCCCTGAATATCTTGACAGGAGAACCTTGATCATAAAGAGGAAACCTGTGACCCCATTCCAGGAAACCATTATCCTGAAGATGGGCTGTCACCAGTTATCATTGAGCTAAAAATGTTCCTGTGATGATGGCTGCTGTGTGTAGTCGGATGAGCTGAGGAAAGTTGAGTGGAAAGGACAATGACTGTGCATCCATACCAGGGACCTTCTTCAGTGATTGCATGAAATCACTGAAGAAGAGCAAAAGCCAACTCCAGAGGAGGTGAAAAAAGCAGTGGCGTATTTTCTGAGGACTTTGATGCACAATGTGAGACTACTCTCTCTCTCTCTCTCTCTCTCTCTCTCTCTACTCTCTCTCTCTCTCTTATAGAATCTCTCCCTCACTTTCTTCCTTTCTCCCTGCCTCTCTCTCTCTTAACCTCTCTCTCTGCCTTTGTGTTTCCTGGAGCTCATGCTCAGGAGGCTGGATGATTTAATGGCAGCTGACTGGCAGTGCTGCAAGTGACATTATTTAGTATCCTCTTCTAGGAGCAGTTTCTTCACCCCCATGAAGTAGCAAACTTAATTGATCACCTCCCACACCGCTTAACAAGCATGGGGAATTTCATTCTTCAGTTCTCCCCTCATGCGTGAGCATAGGGAGAATGGGCTGCCTACCTCAGCATCCACTGTTCTCTGACTGCCTTTCAAGAGTGTGGGAGTACAGTCACTGTGGACAGAGCTTGGTCAGCTCCACCTTGCTGCTATCTGCAGGCAGAGGGGTGACTCATTTGTCCCCATCTGTGAGTGACTCTCGACTTTTCTTCTTTCACTGATGCCACCCTTACCCAGGCTGTTCACTACCCCTTTTGTTTTTACTCGTGTATCACATCCCTTGCACTTGGACAAGGAGACACTTTTGTATAACACAGCAGGTTGCCCTTATCAGATATGCTTCCTGGAAGCAGTGTGCCCACACAAATGAAAGGATAAAAACCTGGAATTGCAGAGGGCAAGAGTGGAGTTTGGCTCTGGTCGTCACAGGCTGGTTGATGGGTAGGTCTAGGAATACGGGAGGTAAAGGAAGACCACATTCCAATAGTTGAGCAGTAGTCAGCTCTCAGTGCTACATCAGGACATCTATTCCTGAAATTTAATGACAGGCAAAATTCACTTTCAGGCTCTTGTCTAAGGTCACATGTTGCTACACAGAAAAGAGCTACCTCAGAGTCAATGAAAAATCCTGCCAAGATTCTTTCATTCTTATCACAAAGAGAGAAATTTTGCTGCGATCTCAGTGTGTGTCATGGAAATGTTCCCACAGGCAACTGAGCAGCTTCCGGGGCAGCATGGCAAGTCAATGATCAGTAGGGGGACAACCAGAGACTTGTAGGTCCTAGGGGTCAAATCCTTGTAAGCCCATAAAATTCTGCGCTGCAAATCCATGTAAACCTCTGTGAAGAATGGCTATCACTGTCCATACATTTCAGTAGAGTTGCCTGTGAGTGTTGGGGTAAGGGGAGTAAGACAAGAATCAATGTGGTTCACCCTATGAGCTGTCAGGCAAGAGAAGGAGTACCAGCTGCCATGGCAGGAATGCTGATGACCTGTCAGGCCCTGTGCTATGCTCTCTGGACAAGTATCATCTCATGTAACCATCGGATGCAGCCTGGGAGGTGGCCCTGTGTTGAAGATGAGGGAGAAACAAAGTGAGATGAATAATCATGGGCTTTCTTCCTTGTCTTCTCACCTCTTGTTACAGTCTGGATTTTCCTGGCTGCACACATTCCTCCTGGCTATCGCCTGGCTATTCCACAAGCCTCCACCTTCACTTTTCCTCTTGGAACCAGGGCTCAGTGTAGTCTCTGGCTCAGACTAGACCCCCATGGATCCACTGCAGAAATGGGATCCAATGTCGATTTCCATGCCCTCCCGCATGGCCACTGTGACAAGCTCCCAAGCGGCCTCAGCAGGCTCTCACCCTTCCTCTTCAGAAAAGCTAAGCATGGGTCTCAGTGGACTTAGGCTTATCCGCAGCCCTGGCCCAGGTGTGTCTGCTCCTGTGTCAGAGGGGCTGCTTCAGCAGCAGGCCCGTGAGAAGAAGGCGTTGTGGCAACAGTACTGGGAAAAGCAGGGCTTTCCTCAGAGGAAGAAAGTCTTCCTGAGGCACTCTGGACGCTGGCACTGGGATCATATGACACCTTACCTGCTTGCACGGGATGTCAGAGGCTCTCCTTCGGGCGGCAACACTCAGAACCTGCAACAATGCCAGGGCCATGTGCCAAACATTGCTGGTATGAGTGGAGACAGGAACACGCCCCCCAACCCTCCCTCCTGGGAAACGCTGGTGCAAGGCCTCAATGGCCTCACCCTCAACCTGGGAGCCAACAGACCCAGCCCCCTGCCAGAGGTGACTGGGGAGCAGCAGGAGCCAGAGCAGATGCTCCGACTGGAGAGGCAGCAGGAAAGCATCAGGATCTTCCAGAGAATGCTCAAGTAGAGGATGGAAGAAGGCTGAGGAGCTGCCTCCAGAGGATGGAGGTGAATTGGACTCAGACAGTGCGGTCCAGCCTGGGCTCTCCTGACATCAAATGAGTCATCTGCCTTCGGATGAGTCCCCACACTTGTGCCAAGATAGGAATTGTCTTAGGAAAGGCTTCAACTTTCCTGCTTATGTCTTTTTATATGCCTTTGTGGGTGTGGTGGTGTGAGTTAGCCAATACAAAAGGAAACTGGGTACCAAGCATTCCTGAACCCCCATGATGTGGTCTGTCTTCATTTTTGTTATAGAAAAAACAAAAACATATATATATATATATATATATATATATATATATATATGTATATTATATATATGAATGGATATTTGTATTTATAGGGCATACATACGTCTTCTATATGACTTCTTGACATCAGTTTTTAAGTGCCCCCATAAAAAGAATTGGAGGCGCGATGGGATGCATGCTCTGGATAGGAGAGACAGATTTACTTCCAACTTCCAGAAGTTGAAGCAAGGGAATGCATTAGGCTGCTACCCAGTGTTCTGTATTGGCTAAAACATCCAGTTGTGGGAGCCTACATGGAAGAAGAGACTTCTTCCTCAGCCATACTAGATCCTGGATTTCTGGAGGAATTACCCCGTGTCCACTCAATCATTGTCATTGCAAAGGCTGACTTGGGATTTCATAACTGTGTATCACACGTGACCCACTCACCCCACCCAGCCTCTTCATGTGGTCAATAAAAATCACTTAAAGACACACAGGCAGGTCAGCAATGGCATAGTTTCATTTAGACGGGGTGGCAAAGAGATGAGAGGCTCCAGTATGCATTCTGGGGTCAGCATGGACAGTCCAGGGAGTGGGTAAGACTGTCCCGAAGGAAGGTTTGTGTGGCATTGTTATGGTGCCAGAATTCAGTGATAAATGTCATTATCACCAGAAACTGGTGATAAGTGGTGAATGTTTGCAGGGATTGATTTCAATCCCATGTTTTCCAGTAATCCATATATATATATATATGTGGCCTAGGTATACAGGTATTATAGACTGGAAAGTGGGGAGGCCAGTTTGCCCTTAAGTTTGCTCTTACTTATCTTGGGGCAGTAGTGGAAAGTATCCTGTGTGCTAATTAGTGGTCGTTCCCGGGATCTGTGCATGCTCTGTGTTTCTCAGCTGCTAAAAGACTCTGATGATCCAAGAGAACAAACAGCTGGGAGGGCAGAATGCCCCCCTCGTTGAATTGTCAAGAGAACCAGCATTTAACCTGCCTGTATGCCACACAGGTAGGGTGGGGTGGGCTTATTCAAATGGGGGAGTTGGGTATTGCTCCAGGTTGCTGCCTAGCAACCACTCTGCAGAGCCCAGCTTCTGAATGATAGAAGGAGCTGGTGGAGGCCTGGAAACACAGGCCTACCAGCCATTATGCGTGCCTTGATAGCTCTGAGGGTGAAGGCATCCTGGCAGGGTAATCCTCCTTCCTTGCCATTTGGCCACGAGAAGCAGAGCCTGTTGTGTACTGGGCAACAAGGGGATAATCTGTGGGACATGTTACCGGCTGTGCAGTTTGTAGTCCTTCATTCTCACATGCCCCCTGCCCTCCAGGCACCTGTATCTCTGTCTAATCAGACACTTGTGCCACGGTGTACAAGGGATTTTTTACCTTCCCTAGTGTTGAAATGATTTACTCTTTTCAAGTGTAGTGCCCTGTGCTTGTACCAGGTGGTATGAAATGCCCTCTTCCAAATGTGAAAACGTGTTCTGTTCTGTGACCATCTGCTTCTTGTTGTTAATGTGGCCTGGAATGTCATCATGTGGTTTTGTCAGAGATTCTGAGGGGTCAAGAAACTGTGTACCGATCTCTGCTCTAATCCATGAGACTTGTTCAACACATTATGAGTTTTGTAGCACATTGTCTAAGCCATGCTACTGACTATGTGACCAGTTAAATTTCCATTACAGTTAAGATTGCCTGTTACTTTGCAATATTTCTCCCTTTAGAAACAGCGATGCTTGTTTTTGTCCTTTTCAGCAGTGGATCTCTTGCAGTAGGTGCTGTGTTTTCCTCCTGTCACATCTTCCCTGCCTGATTCTTCACCTACCTGGCAGTCTTACTTATCTGCCTTCCACATCCAACATCACTATGTGCCACTCTTCAGAATACACAATGGCAAAATTTCAAAGGGAGATGGCAGAGTAGGAGGAGGATCATGGAACCATGGGGCCTAAGGTCTACCTCCCCAGATAGTCAGGTGAGCCACCTCCACCAACAACAGGTTCTGCTGTGAATCTCTTGGCATGGTGGATGCAGGAACTTTTGGCAGGATGACCCAGGCACAGCTGCCCACCCCATTGCCCCACCCTCTGGTCAACTCCATGCCTTATATGCATAACAACACTGAGGGCTTGGCCAGAGGCATCATGGCAGGGGTTGCAGCCCTCAGGTGTGCTCCTGGCTTCCCCTACATCGCAGTCTTCTATGGGGACCAGGTAGCCCCCATACTTTGGCCTCAGTTATTTGAGTCCTGTGGATGCTCTGACTTGACCATAAGTACCGACTCATCATCTTTACCTCAGTTAATTTCATTTCTTTGTCCTGCTCCAAGGGTTGAACTGTACAGTTACATATGTGTGCTATATGATTGAGTGCCTGTTTGTGTGCACAAATGTGGGCATTCATGCCTGTGTAGATGAAGGTCAAGGCGGACCATGGGTGTGTTGTGCTATCACTCTCTATCATGAGTTTTGAGACAGACTTCTGATAGGTTCCTGGAACTCACCATGTGGCTTGATGAGATAGATAGTGAGTGCCTAGCAGCCCTAGGATTTTGGGCGTATCTTGCCAGGCTTGGCTTTTGAGTTTGTGCTGGGGGATCCCACCTCAGGCCCTCAAACCTACTAGCCAGACACTTTACCAGCCTCTAAGCTATACACTTTTAATTAATTGGAACCTACCTTCAAACAATAACAACCCTTTCCTGAGTAGTGAAGCCCCCACCACAGTGTGTTCCCACTTCCTGACACACAATGTTTGGTGGCCTGTTTGCTGGAGCAGCAGACCAGGAAATGTTTCTCACACTCACAAGATTGCAGGCAGCATCTTCACGAGCCATTTCCAGTGGTTTAGGAGTGTTGTCGCTTCTCTCAAAACCCCAAGTGTGTTTCAAAGGCTGGGTGTACAAGAGAGACTCCAATTATGCCTTGATTGGAGTTGTCATGGTGATGTCATGGCAACGCATTTCATCACTGCACATCATTTACCTGTGTGATTGCACCATGCTAACCTCTCCCAACCATTTTGAAAGAGACAGACATTCCCCCACTGCACCATTCTGATTTTCTCTCATGATCCGTGTTCCTAAATTGTCATGACTCAGCTTGAGGCCCTGTGAGGAATGGGGACAGGAGGTGGTGGCCGAGGTGTAGGTTATTAATCTCATCCTGAAACCATTGTGTCAATAACCTGGGAGAAAAGAGATTTTTCTGACTGGATGGAATCCTGGTGGTTGCCTAGGTTACTACGAGAGAGAGCTGGTGCCCATGGAGACTGCCACATCACCAGCCTCATTCTACAGGATCCAAGCCTGAAGCAACAGTGTAGGGGACATGCTCACTATATCCTCAGTATTAGGGTACTCCTGAAGATGCTCTGAGCCTGTTTGTGACAAGCAAAGATGCAGAGGACAAGGACACAGGCTCTGGCCACTAACTACATCACCCATTGAATTTTCAGTGAGAGTGTGCAGGTTGGCAGACCCTTTCCTCCTTGTGCTAGGAGAAGGGTCTCTGAACACCTGTGTGACCCTGGTTCCCAAGCCCCAGATGCTATTCTTTCTGTGCTGGAGGCCCTGGTGTGGTGCATGTGCAGGGTACTTTCACAAAACTGCTGAAATGGAACATTGCTCAGAATCCATGTCTGATGGTCACACAAGGGAATTCTCAAGATTCCAGAAAGCACCTCTCCCCTCCCTCTCCCCCTCTCTCTTCCTCCCTCCCTCCCTCCCTCTCTCTCTGCATAGAACCAAGGATCCTGTGAAACTTCTCACAACATATATTCACATAGAGGATGTAGCACTAAGTTAAGTGAGCATGAATATGTATGTATGTATGTATGTATGTATGTATGATGACCTCACTGTCTGTTGTACCTGGTAACAAAGAAGACCCTAAGAGAAACATACAAGGATCTGCTTAGCAAGGGGAAATGTGAAATAGACAAGCTCACTTGAGTAAATCAGGAGCATGAGAGAGGGAGGGAGGTGGTAGAGTGAGGGGCAGTAGGAAGGGCAATGGGGACGTGAACATGAGGGAACAGCATGGTTGCATTGTGTGAAGCACAGAGTGGTAGATCAATGAAAGAATTATCTTGACAGAGTGAACCATTATGGATTAGTGGGAAAAACCTCACACTAGGGCAATTCCCAGGAATAAACAAGGATGACCTCAGATAAAACTCTAAATTATAGTGTAGAGGGTGCAGGTACTGGCCTTCCCCTGTAATCAGATTGAGGTCTACCATAATTGTCAGGACAACACATTCATCCAGTAACTGATGGAAGCAGATGCAGAGATCCACAACTAACTATCCACAACTGACAGCCTTGGAGTCCAGTTGAAGAGAGGGGGACTGATAAAATCTGCAAAGGGGTCAAGACCAGGATGGGGAAACCCACAGAGACAACTGAAACAAGATAGTGTGAACTTACTGACTCTGGACTGACAGCTGGAGACCTTGCATAGGACCCGCTAAATGCAGGTGACAGTGGATGGGGTGGGAAGTGTGTAGAGCCAATGGAAGTGGGAGCAGCATTAACAATATTGCATGAACTGGCTTTATGGAACTCATTTCCTATGGAGAGATACCTTGCTCAGCCTAGATAGGGGGAGGGCCATGGTTCTGTCTCAAGCTGATGATGAGATGGACTTTGGTGATGCCCCATGGAAAGCCTTTATCTCTCTGAAAGAAAAGGAGGCATAAGGTGAAGATCAGGGAGCAAGAATA